GTACCTCAATCTTATATGCCAAGAACTCATCTTCTTTCACCTTACTTCACTTTGAAGAAAGCCCCGATTCAATAACGCGATAAAACGGAACAACAAAATTGAAACGATGAGGAAAGCCCGTAACTTAATTGAATAGCGTTGATACGGTTAATGAATTTGCTGCATCAATTCAAGTAAAAGAACTTTTCATACCATAAGAAAGAACTAACTTTCGTTGCTGCCTCCATTCTAACTAAGAAACTAATTTAATTCAAGTAGTATTTAAGATAACTCATAACCCCTTGGACCATGGGGTCCACTTCTCCTAAATAGCACGTATTAATTGTCCACCTCCTACATATAACCACCAGATCACCTATGTAGAATGAATGAGTCATTTCCTCATTTGGGCTTATGCATCCACGTAAAAAGGTGCCCATACCTAATTATGGTTAAGGTCCCTTTTTATCTTTAGCTAATTCTTTTTTTTCCTTTCACTACACTCCAAATTTAACTAATGCACGTAATTTACTCCTTGGCCTCAATTTGATTATATACCAAATTATTTTTAACACACTTCTTATACTCATTATCAAGGTAATTAGCACTAGTCCGTAGCCTATTTGGCAAAACACCAACGTAACTATTATTCCCAACCATCATCGTTACACTTATAAGTCCTATACCATTTCGGGACTTCATCTTTTATACACCGTGCTCTTTATTTGCATACTTAGATATGACCAAAGTTCTTTCGTGGCTAGGGTCTACTTACATAAGCCGAGCGACTCAAGCCATAGACCGAAAGCACGGGGTATTACATTGACGAAACTTATTCTCTTCGATTTGTTGACCACTAGTCCCTACGACACTTCCCCAACACTTTCTAAGCTTAGCATAACCACTTATTACCTCAAAAATAATCTAGTCCTTGAACTTATATCAATTAACTTACAAAAAATCCAACATACAAAAGTAGGGGATGTTACAATACAAATGGAGAAAACAAAATATCAAAGAAGCATGATAGCAAAATAAGGCATATAATAGCCTAATATCTACCCTGATTATGAATAACCACGATGCACGCATATACGCTCGTCACCTCACATATACGTCACCCCCAACATATAACAAATATCATTGCCAATGGGAAAATACCCTCACTCCAAGCCTAGCCAAGATACTTACCTCATCCAGACTAGTGTTCAACCTCGAATTGCATCAAAACCTTGATCTAGCCCTCCAATCGTGCAAATCCAAGCCAAACATCATCCAAGGAAGTCAACAATGCCATAGGAAGCGATCCCAAATCATAAAGCTTCGATCTTTAAAAATAATCCCAAAAGTCAACCCGAGCCCACATACCTGAAACCAATACCATATTCGATGACCCATAATGTGCCGAATCCAAATATATAATTAGTTTCCAAAACCGAGTCAAAATTTGTACTCAAATCCATAAAATACACTCTCTTAAAGTTTAGATACAAACCACAAATTTCCTTTCAAAATTCCAAGTTTTAGGTGTAGAAACCCATGAGAAATTGATATATAAAACCAAAATCCAAGTGGAAATCACTAACCTCTAAGGTAGTAGTGAAATTGCTCTTCAAAATATCCTTTTGTCAAAGTCTAGGGCTCAAGATATGAAATAATGGGTAAAATCCTGAAAATTGCAACTTAAATACACTGCCCAGCAATACTCATTGTGATCGTGGCAAAGACATCACGATCTCGATGCGTAATTCCACAATGTTCCTGAGTCCTTTCTACGCAAATACAAATAATACCTGCGAACGCGAAGGACACTGGCCTCCCAACTACGAGAATGTGAAGGACGACATGTAAAGGCGAATCTCTACTGACCGTTGACCCCCAACACTTTGCGAATGCGAAGCCAGATAAGCGAACGCGATGAACATAGCCCACAACACTCCATGAAAGTGGGCCCTTAATCTCGGGTCTGATAAAAACCCCAGCATCACCTAAAAACACCCTACGCAATCGTGGAGCTCCTATTGTGATCGCTAAGCTCATCAGGAAAGCACAAACAATTAGCAAGGCAACCACAACCCAAAGTGGTCTGAAACTCACCCGAGCGCCACGGAACCCCGTCAATCATACCAACAAGTCCAAATACATTATACAAACTTATCCAAAGGCTCAAAACACACAATTAACATCAAAACCTAGAATCGAATGTCAAGATCATTCTTTTAACTTTCAAACATTCCAACTACCTAAACGCATCCAAACCACACTTAGAAATTTCGAATTACAACCAAACTTTGCACACAAGTTTCAATTGACAAAACAAATCTATTACAAGTTCCATAGAAACAATCTGAACCCAGTACCATCAAAGTCAACTCCCGGTCAAACATGTGAACTCTCCAATTCTTCAAATTGCCAACTTTCGACAAATAGAGCCAAAACCTTCTAGGAACATCCCAATTCAAATCAAAACATATGCCCAAGCCAAAATCACCATACAAACCTATTGTAATAATCAAATCACCAATCTGAGGTCGTTTACTTAAGAGTTAATACTTGGTATAATTTTCTAACTTAAAGCTTCCGAATTGACAATTACTCTCCTAAATCAACTCTGAACCTCTCGAAAGTCGAAATTAACCATATACACAGGTCATAATTCATAATATGAAGCTATTCAAAGTGTCAAATCCCTAAACGAAGTGATAAATCTCAAAACAACCGGCTAGATCGTTACATTCTCCCCCACTTAGACATATGTTGGTCCTTGAATGTGCCAAGAGTTACTCCAAAAGCTGCCAAATCGCTGAATAACTCATCATACACATATCCATGGGTGATCTCACGTGAGGTAGAGGTGAAATTTCACCATCAAGATTTCGATTAATTGAATCTCCCACCTCGATCTTACTCAGAAAGGTCAATGGGAGTATAGCAGCAGACGCAAAGGAAGAAATCCTTGCTCTTGAGGCTAAGATGTTGACTTTGCCGTGGAAAGAGTATTGAGAGGAAAGCCTTGACCTTCCCTTGCTCTACCCTTCAAACTTTCTTCCTTCAACCTTAGCTTGCAATCATTATAACCAAATTCTTACTTCTGGAGCTCCCTCTAAGATCCGATTATCT